TGATTTCTCCCGGGTAAACTGGTAGTTAAACTGCAGGGAATTAATTTTAATTCTAGCAATAAGCAGGGGGGTTTGGGAGAGCCCACATCAGATTAGCAGCAACATTTTACAAACAGGCACTATTGAATTCCACTACAACCCCATTATGAGAGCGTGTTTCTACCCTGTCCCAAACCTGGGAAGGCAAATGTTATGTGCCCCTGCCTCCCTCTCTCCCAGCCTTTCAGGAAGCTATGAGGCTAATTTTCCCCAGCAGTATTCTCTGAAGGAAAAGTTCACTTCTTGTGAAGGTAACACGTATTTTTTAATTATTATTATTTTATGCCTCCCCAGGGAAGGTGAGGAGGGGGGAGCTTCCTTGCTCAACAGAGAAAGAAATTTTCCTGTATCAGTTGCCAAGAATAGACACCCTAAATTCAGCGATCCTAATCTCCAGCCATCCATCAGCAGCAGGGTGGGACCAGCTGATTCAGATTTTCTATTAGCTAGTGACTTTGTGTGCTAAAATAAGTCCCTGTACCACCCAATTGTTCCTCCTGCTGCTCTCTGTTCTGCAAAAGCACAGATTTAACTGTAGCTACCTCGACCATAAGTACTCCCCTCCTGCAGGCCCTTTATACCTGGCACAATCCTCTTCCCACCAACTGATCCAAGTCCCCTTGTGCCCCTTTGACTCTACACCATGAGCATTTCTTAAATTTGCTCCACCACCCTTCTAGCATGCACCAGGGAAAATGCCAGCTCCAAGTATCCTCAGTACCCTGGGAGGCAAAGTCCAGGTATAAACTGAACCTGCAGACAGACAATGGTAACTGTTCGTTTGCAGGGCCAATTATTATCCATACACAGAGTGACCAAGGCCCATATTTAGGGCACATTGTGTGACAGATGAAGACAGGATAAAAAAATAAACCTCCCAGCTCTACATTTAAAAGAGCATGGGAAAATACCAAAACAGCTCAGCCTAATAAATTACTCTGGTGGTCTAATATTCAATAACCCACATTCACTGGTTATTTTCTGGACCAGAAAAAAACCCCAAAACCAACTATAATTGATTAACATTATTCTATTATTTACACAGTAATACCAATAGCAGAATATATAAACTAGCAGTTTGAAATTAACACTAAATAAAAACAACTAAAAGTGCATGACCAAGGCTAACAGCAAACTCTGTTAACCCAGTCAGACAACTCACACGGTTGGTACTCTGCAAGTTTTCAAGTCCCATAGACTAGTGCCATTTATTGGGAGCAAAAATACAGAAATAATCTGAGACCAGTTAATCTTTAATTAAAGAAAAGCATCTGTCTCCATGGGTCAACAAACTTCTGTTTCCATTCATATTCCTGCAGCCCCAGAGAAACAAAAGGAGTTGATAAACCAGGTCTTGCCGGATCCTGGCAGCATGGGCCACAGACAAGGGAATGAAGTTTTAGCCAAGATAAAGGCAAATGTTTCACGAGCTCAGAAAGCTCCAGAGTGCCAGAAGAACAAGCATCCAGACACACACATTTGGTCTAGAGCTCCTCTGCAGCTTTAGAGGACAGAATACTTTCAACTTCTAGTTCAGCATCAGCCAAAGAGGAAAGTAGTTAGTCATGTCAAACAAAGGAGACAACTCACCTGCTACTAAAATTGTGAAGTGACTGCTGATTTTGGGTGTCCCATATAACTCATAATAATGGAGATAAAATTTTCAGAAAGCTACAGATATCCTCCTAACTACCTTCCCTCTTAGTGTCAAAACTGGCATTTAAAAAAAAAAAAAAGAAATCAAACACCACACCACAGGTCTGTAGTTCCTTTGAGGAAAAAAAACAAACACCAAAAACCCCAAACAAACAAACAACAAAAAAACCACAAACAAACAAAAGACCTTCGAAGTCAGCGGAAATCCAAAGGAGAAGCATCTATTTTCTATCTATTTTCTTTTCCTTATTTTTTTTTTTTAAAAGCTAAAATGCCACAGAAACCTCAGGAAAAAAAGGGAGAAATATGAACTGCCCATTTGATCAATGACTGTAGTGAGACATTTCAAAGAACCTCACTAACTCAAAATCATGTCCTAGCAGGGATCTTCGTAGCATTAAACCAGTAAAGCAAACAAATAATAGTCAAGAAGTCTGCATTGTACATAGCAAACTTGGCACGGTATGGCAACTGTTTAGTCTCCTATACCAAAGGAAGAGACATTACACAGTCCTCAACTCAGCTTTATGGATTTTTGAGAAGGAAACTAAATGGTTTTTAAAAACAATCAATTTTTGAATTAGGCAAATAAAAAGTAATAGTTCTTTACCCAAGAGTTAATAGAACACCCATCACATTAATACATCAAGTAAACATTTGCTAAATTCTGCATCAACTCTGTTCATCAAGGGGTAAGCAATTAAGTTACTTATATATTGTACACCTCCACCTAAACCACTCATCATGAAAAATTCCATGATGTGATGTATAACAATTGATTCTCCACTGTTGACTCGAAGGTAACCAAAACTGAGACTGAACTTATGCCAGCAATGCAAACCAACCGCTACAGACAGTGGTTGTCAGACAGCATCTCCACACTGATGGAACAGTAAAAACAAATCCCAATCAATTTTTACTGTAGGTGCTAACTCCTCCAAAAAGCACCTATCTTCTGCCACACTGAGGTAGATCAAGTACATACATTACAGCAGATTAAAACCTGTGTGACAAAGAAACAACGTGCATTAAGCATGTCTCAAGTTCTCCATCTTACAAGCCTGATTGCAACTTCAGCCAGCCTTAGCTCCCTGAGGCATGCTGTAGGAGATTTCTTTATACCTACTAAAATAAGTGTTTTTATTACAATGTGAAAATGCAAAAAAGAATTGTCTTTTGTATTATTTAATCTAACTCACAATTTAGTCTTTCTCGTTTGCACTGTCTTTACATTTCCAGATTACTGCAGACTGTGTAAAACATGTCAATGGCAAGCTTGAAGTTTTGTCACTTAGGAGGGTACACAAAGCAAATCTCTGGGAAGAACAGGCTGATTAGACATCAAGTTACTCAACACTGCATTGCACTGAATAAACAAGCCACTTTAAACAATGATTTCTGACTGTTTGCAAGCAGACCACACATAATATACTAGGTATACAAACATCAGAAAGTGTTAGACTCTAGAACATAGCAATGAAAATTCTGCAGCTCAGCAATATATGTGCTTACACAAAACAAATATTTCCAGTTCTTAAAAATAGAGCTAAAGAGACAGCTTACCCTTTCCACTTGTCCTTCTTTGTGCTTCAGTTTGTACACTTTCAGCTTTGGAAGGAAAGTCTCTGTGTAGTTCTTGTCTTCCATGCCTTGGAGCAGTACCCCATGGAATGCCAGCCTGCAGGTATTTGAGTGAATATCCGTATCCAGCTTGGAGCCGATAACAAGGCACAGTTTAGGACAAGTGACTGGTTTTTCAAACTCCAGCAAAGCCCACTGTTGTTTTGGGAGCTGGACTTCTCCTGCCTGGTCATTCTCTTTGTTCTCCTCTGACGAAACTGAGTCCTTGGACAAATATTGCTCTTGATAAAGATAATCTTTCTCAAAATCAAAAACATTTTCTTGAATTTCTTCATTGAAGTCAGCAGGGGCTGGACTGAAAAACATCACTCTTCCCATAACTGTTTCATGACCAACTGTGATGTGGAACTTGGCCTTAGTCTGAAGAGCTCCTCGAAAATACTGGATTTTCTTCAAGGAAATTATTGCAGCATGGATGGTGTGAAGTGAATCTGGGGTGCAAATCAGGCCTCTTTCCAGCAGTTTGGGATCAAACTGGGTTACACAGATACCTACTCTGTCACCCTGCATAGCATAAGTCACAGGAGTATGGAACATCTGCATGGACTTGACTTTCTTTGTCACCTGTTAATGAAAGAGGAGGAAAAAGAATGAAGTAAGTAATTGCACATGAGTGCATCATGAGCACTCATGTCATGATAAGCTTATATCTCATGATATATGCTTATATCGTGATGTATCAGCCACTCAGAAGGGAACAAATTGCAGAAACTTAAATCAAAACAGAGGACCAGATGACAAGTCTAAAGCCAAAACCTTCAGTAACTGGAATATAAAGAGCTCTCAAAATAAGTCAGCAAAAAGTGGTCACAGCTAACAAACAGAAAGTTGATTAAAAAAAAAAAAATCTAGCAGCTACACATCTTCTGGAAAACAACAAAAAACCTGTATTGCTTTTGGAAAATCATATTTATACAAATAACAATGCCCATGAGCTTCACCACTATGAATATTATTCGGATTCCCTGAATCTCTGGTTGCTAACCAAAACCAAAAGAAATGCCCTTTTACAGATTATAATGTTATTATTACAACATTTTGCAAAATAAATGCCACATCAGTGCCTGTGAATTCTTGAAGAATCCACAAAATACTGTGAGAAAGAAGATCAAGAGGTGTGTTCATGTGAGAGAAAAAACCCTCACTAAAAAGCCTGGACGAAAATAGTTTGTCAAGATCTTAACTAATGTCAAAACAGACTTAAAAGGCCACTATAAATACTTAGCAGAGTTTCAGTTTCAAGCATTGTTGTACTCAAATATACATTCATTATCCCTTTAGCTAAGCCTCCTAGACAGTGCTACCTATCCAGATAAATTGGAGAGAAACAAGTTAGTGTTTAACTCCAGCTCTTTATTCACTTCCAAGATTGTACTTTTGAAGGCTGGAAGTATTGGGGCTTGAATCAAACTCTTTCCAAACCTTCCCCTCTTTTATTCAGTACCCCTCCCTCTCCAGTGTCATTTCATGTTATAGTTGCAACACTGGCAATACATACAATGTTTAAGGACTTCAAAAATAAAAATAATAAAAATAAGGGTTTTTAAACATAAGTGTTTCAAAGATATAAACAAACACTACCAGAATGAAACTGCCAGATGAAAAGTACCAGCCCAAACCATTTTGAAAGACTTTTGTGACTTCACATGTGATAATACTGGCAGTAAATCTTTCCTCTCCTCTACACCATGGACAGGGCCAATAAACTGACAAAAACTAAGGAATCTTCTAGCAATGTCACTCCTCAAACCAAAACTGGAACTGGAAGATGCACAACATATCTGTCAAGTTTCCTATTTTAATTACTAAATGTATGCAAACGTTTAAGAAATTCCAGAAGGAACAAACTACTGGGCAGAGCCAGAGCAGAGGGGAAGGAGTGTCCAGGGCTTTAAGAATCACCTGATTTATTTGCAGCTGGGTCTGGCTTTCAGACAGGTTTGCCTGTCCTCAGACACAAGGAGGAAAACACACTGCATTACACAACCTATTGAAAATCATCACTTCATGCTCATCTTGTAGATGATTTAATCAGTCCATCTATATTTGTTTTAAGTAGTATCTATTACTGTTCCCGTAGACATATCAGAGGATGGAAGTAAATGGGAAAAACACATCTGAGCCCCTTCCTTTTTTTCCCCTCATGCTCTCAGCACCAGAACTGTAAAAGGAGCAATACAGCAGTATCTGAACTGACCATAACCTCTGTTCCAAGAGTAGAACATCTGTAGGAATTAGAATCTGACCAGAACAATGCCAGAGTGTACATAAGTAATTAGGGGGTGAATTAGATCACCCAAACTGAGTTGGAATTGCATCTCCTTCAAAAGGTCAGACATGGAACCAGTAGAGAAGTGAATCAGGGAGTTGGTTTGCACCCACTGGATCAAATAACAAGAGCCAGAGTAGCTTTAAATCACTGATTTCCTGTTTGCTGAGCAGACCATGAACATCAGTACAGTATTTCATTCCATTCCACTCTGACCCCAACTGACAGAGATATTTGCCCATGGTTTAAAATACTCCAAATGTAGGGGGTTTCTTCAAGAGACTCAAGTACATCACTAAAATTCATCTTTGTTTTGTCTGGCCTTAAAATACAAACCCAGAAGCACTGAAAAGGATGCAACTGACCCTCAGTATTAAATTTGTTTCTCTTTTGCATATCTAGTTTCTCTGTGTAAGGGATCCCTATATATTATAACACAGTTCTAAGCTTTCACACACTTTCTTTAGCTTTACAGCAATGGATTTTTCAAGTAGGAGATTTGGGGTTGGATCACTCGGTCCACCCATCTACCAACTTAATGATGTAAAATACTTCAGAGAACTCTGTCCTGATCAACAGGAATTTGTAAACAAGACCAGCTATGAGAAATAGCTTTGGCATTTCTTTGCATTTACTTTGAGCCCCCATTTTAGTCCTCAAACTGCTGTCTGTAAAATGAGTTGTATCTTGCATTGTCCACGAAAATAGTGCAAGGTCCATTTTAGCAATCCACTCAGAGTAGGGAAATTAGGCCTTTAGATACAGAAAGGGAACAATATTGAGTGAAACTTAAAAAGTGACAGACTTTACAACATGTGAACCATAGAGGTAAACATGAAGAACTTGAATACCATTGGAAAACTTTGCTAAGAAATTCACTCGCAATTTGCTTTCTAGTTGTGGCATGGGGGAATTGATTATATCTCATATAAATCAAGAGTCACGTATTGAAATCTTACATCATTTGCAGAAGTATTTGCTTCTCATAAAATTTTATTTGTATAATCACAATAATGTTCCTAAAGCATTATGTTGAGGTCCATAAAAAGAGTGAGAAAGAAGTTTGTGTTCAAATGTAGATTAAAAAATGCAAAACAGAAATCAAAAGCACCCAAACAGTTCAGCCCTTGAGATAAACAAATGTATTTAATATAAGAGAACCCGTTATTTGAAGACCAAAGGAAAAGCCCACTAAGATTTTCAAAGCAGTTTACTGCAGATTAATAGAAAACAGGACACAGAAAAAGTCCACTAATGACTTTTGGCCCTAGTATGTCATAGCTTCTTTTCCTTTATTTATCCAACTTCCATTAAGTTATCAGCCACATGCCATTGCTCATAGCTTCTTTAGATAAAAACCTAGCCATTCTGCTGCCTCCCAATGCTGTGAGTGCATCTTTCTGATATCAAAGATACAGCAATCATATTTCCCTGTAACAGTGATGAGAAACTGCAAAGTTAAAATAATTAGTCTCAATGATATAATAGAGAAAACAATGATTAAAAATGCAGTGTTTATAAAAGGACTATTACATATATGTTATAAAAACAGACCCCATTTCAAACACAGAGGATTCCAAGCAGATCAAAAATAAAGATCACACCTCAGAGCCCATTTAAGAGCTGCATCTTTAAACTTACATCCAAGAAGGAGCTGGTAAGAGAAAAAAGCGCCATTTTAGCCCAGAAGATCAGAAATACACCAAGTGCAAACCTGTCTGAATCAGCACCCAAACAAGAAAAAAAACTCTTGAGAAGTATAAACTGGTCATACTTTGCAGCAAAGTGCCAAATATAAGAAACACCACCTTACTATCATCTAGAAGAAGTGGAGCAGCAAACTAAGGCCCAATTGCATGACTAAAATGCATCCCATATCTGCTGCTTTTGAAAGCAAGGACTGCCTTCCTGGCTATTGCTCTGCTACAGATCCAAATAAAGAATAAGGTATCTCATCTTCCTGTTCCCAGTATCACTTTTGGTGGTCAGAACATATCAAGCTACATTGGCAAAAACTTGCAGGCCACTTCTCTGAAAGGTTACCACAATTTTTAGTTTTCAGTCAGCCCATGTCTAAGCACGTACATTGAAACTAAGAAAAACTGATTCAGATATAAGACTGTTCCCTACATGTAAGCAGATATTTAATTAATTCCCTTCTAAACATGAAGAATGCTGAATTCTTTGCCTTATGAGGGACAACGAAGCTGAACCCTGTAGATGAGCAAGCAGCCATGTGTTCAGCAAAGCCAGCAAACCATTCCTGCTCGAAAGCAGTAAAAGGACCTGTAGGCTGTGAAAGGCTTCTGCTCCATCCAAGTAACAGAAATTATTTTATGTTTAGAAACAAGGTACAAAATAATTTCTAAATTCTCTTAGATGCCTTTTTGGTTCACGTCGTAACTCATTAGTTCCAAAACTTGAGCCAGAATTTTGAAACAGCATAAAATGGAAATAAACCAGGAGCAGTCAATAACACATCATTGAACAGCAAATCACACAATGCAAACTTTACCCACTTCTCAGGCTGTGAAGAGCCTTCTCTTCTGAGTCAACATCACAATAGTAGCTAGGACCAGTTACACAGAGCAGATATCTCAAAGAGTCAGAAATAATTCAAGGTTTGCAGATTCCAGCAAGATCATGTGGCTTAGTAACAATTTTCTGAAAGATCTTGAATATTTCTAGAATCTATTATTTATCCATGGCCTCACCTCCATGTGGCAAAGGAACATAGCATCTGGAGGAAAAACTATTTCACACAGAATGATTCTTTTAATTTTTTTTTTAAAGTGAGGTTTATAAGGGCATTCACCATATGAGCGCTGTGGTGCTTATGTAACACCACACACGTGCTATCAGATTTTATTTAATATACTCCTCCTACTGATAAAATAACACCCTAGCCAGCACTGCAACACTGGAATACAAAGCAATATAAAAGGGGATAATAAAATCCATTTAGTTTATTTCCTTTCTCAGCATCTAAAATATGCACTCAGTAAATAAAAGCAGGTCGATGATCTTACTCTGCTTTAATACCATAATTTTAATTTAAATTACATGTATCCTATATTCATGCACACAATCACAAATCAAAAATTAGCAAGTGTTTAGATTAAGATTTTGCAAGTAAAGTTAAGTGACCTTCTGTTCCTGTGAAGTCTCCTTTAAGTATATTATACCAAATTTTTTCAGCAGAACCTAATCTATTTCATGTACAGGTTGGACAAATCTCACTGAATAAGAAAACTATCCTCTATTTATTTTCTTCTTCTGACTGAACTTCCCCGAA